AATTTTTTGCACTTCGGTTGCAAGACGAACTCTCTTCCCTACTCTTTTTCCTGGCGTTTCCGACACTCAAACGCCCCCCCCTCATTCCACCATGTCCTCCTACGAAGACCACGGCCTTTCCCCTTACGAGAATCGCTCAATTAGAGTCTCTCGTAGAGCAACGGATGCCTTTTCGCCAGCGCAATGCGTTCTCTTTTCGGATCCCGATAAGTTCAATAATACGGTCCTTATTCAACGCTTCAGCTCAAAACTTCGGAAGTTCGGAAGTTCGGAACTACAATATCGGTATTCTCGGACCAGCTAGCTTTCGCTTACGGTACGGTTCAGCGATAGGATGCTAGGCTCCCCTCTCTTACGGCCCAGCTCCTTATCGGCGGTAAAGCTCTTGGCGGACCCACTACTCAACCCAATTACGTTTACTCCGATACGGCTCCCGGTCCTTATTCAATCAATTTGAACCCAACTATACGGACTCGTTTAAACAGCCAAATTGACGCTCTTTAACGTATACCGAGTACGCGCACGTCATTCAGCAACCTGAACGCTTTTCCGGCTCTCTCGGCCTTCCTAGTTTTTCGGTCCGTTTTTACGGGTTCCTTTTTCGGCTTTTCGGCTCTTCGGTTCTTCCGGTCCTTTTGGTTTTTCTCCCGGCCCGTCCTACGGATTCTCTTCGTCCCTCGGCTCCGTTCGGTTCCTCAAAACCGCCCTCGCACGGACACGGGCCCCCTCTCTTTCGGCGATTTAACCGACTTCTCAATACTCAAGTATTTGCAGCACGTTATTTGCAGCTTGAGCACTTGCAATACGCTTTCGGTTCTTTCGGCAATCAAACAAAGACTCAGCTTTTTGGAAGATCGAAATCCCACCCTCCAGCATGCTCTTTACAGCTCCCTCGATTAGCAAGCTTATCAATCTACCCGTTGTGGTGCAATTAATTTGGAGAGCTGGGTGCTCTTTCCTTTTAGCTAAGCCTTGAGTTCTTTTCGAGAGAACAAAGGTTTAAGGGGGTTTGATTTAGACGAAAAGGAGGATATTTTGGCGGATTTAGAACGCTTTTAAAAGCTACGATCGGTAGCCTCGGCGTATTTTTTTGGTTTTTTTTTCAGCAATTCCACCCGTGAACCATGGTTCACGACTGAATTTTTTTCCTTCTTCTGTCAAGTACTTTTGAGAGAGCTGGGACAGCTCTCTAAGGGGGTAGTATGACAGCCTGCCTCGTTACCTGCAGTCAGCTGATCACCCATTCAGGCCTAGCGCCTGTAGCCATGTATATAGACCTTCCTGAGCTCTCCTGAGCTTCCTGTTTTCTTCTCCTCACTTTGTATTCTAAGGTCAGAATTCATCAGTTCGTCACATCGAGCGAATTAAAGATATTACTCTTTTAAACTTTTTTAAGGTCTACGATATATACACTTATAAAAAGAAGAATTTCTTACGAAAAAGCAAGCTTTAAATCATTAATTACTTCTTTTAGTACTTAAATATTAAAGTCTATGATAATTATAAGTATAACGCACGCACTTATTTAATGCTACATTATCTTTATCGAAAAAAAGACGACTTACTTATTAATATTATTAAAGCGGAGCATCCGACATTCGCTTTAACTTATAGCGCTTGCAAGCGCTTTTATCGAGATCTTTATAACGATTTTTTATATATGCTCGATTATTACGATCTTCTTTTTATAGCTAACGAAAAAGATAAAGTTAGTTTAAACGATAAATACGATATAAAAAGCTTTAAGCTTCGAGATCGTAATAATATTAACGCAAAAGAAGAATAGAATTTACGCAACCTTCGAAACTTTCGTATTATGCTTATAAACGAAGACGATATATCGAACCGGCTTAAAGATCTTACTTATAATTAAAATTCATATGTTAATAAATATAACATTCTATCAACTTATATCCGAGATTAAAGAGCTGCTGCAAAAGTATCTGATATGCGTGTGACAGCCTGCCTTGTTACCTGCAGTC